CGATTTGAATGAAGTAAGAAAAGTGAAAAGATATTTTCATCAGAAATATGTTAAACTGAAAGTTGCATGTTTATAATCACACATTCGGTACATGCAGATAGAAGATTGCAAAAATTTACTAAAGATTTCTAATCAATGGAAACAAAATTATTTCCAAAGTGCCAAACAAAAAATTATATATATCTAAAAGAAAAGGCAGAATAAAAGTAAATCTTAAAAATACTACTACTACTCATAAATAGAAATCGCAAACATACTCCATATTACCTTGGTACCAGCTGGCATGTCAGTTAGATCATAGTTGCAAAGGAAAGTGTGAAGAGGTGTCTTTTCTGGATTGCTGAGAACCTATGAAAACAAATTATAGTTCGACAATATCAGGAAAAGCCATCTGTAAATTTTCCTCAAAAGATCTCATTTACAAATTACAATCTATTGCTACATTCAGCCCAGAGGCTCTAAAACCAGAATGGAGGTTGAATCTTTTGCAAAAATGATTTAGAAAATTTACCTCACAAACCAGATTCCATAATCAAAGACAAATGCTGATTGTTCCCAAAAAAGTGCAAGGTGAAATTGAAAGAAACAGAATTAAAAGGAAACAACTTTTGTGCAGTAATCTCTATTGAAGACTATAGTACTTCAGATAAAACATAATATACAAAGAGAACAGATTGTCTGATCTGTCTACCGAAATTGCCATGTCCTTAACTAAGTATGAAAATATACCCAAACAGAAAAATTGTACAAAGTATAAGAGAAGTTACTAAGCATTAAAGATTGCTATCCTAGAATTTATGAAATTGCTTGTGATAAAGAGGCTAAGGTGAGGGATAGTTATGTTAAGGTGGGGGAGGGGTGGATTTGGAATGCGAAGCTTGTGAGAAATTTGTAGGATTGGGAAATTGATGAGTTTTGCAATCTGTTACAGTACTTTGACAGCAAAAAACTGAATGATACCAGAGATATGAGAGTGTAGAAACCAGATGAGAAGAAAGGCTTTTTCGTGAGGTCTATGTACAGAGTCCTGTGTAAGAGGGACAGCAGCAGTATTTGCAAAGGTGCCCTCTTTAAACAGATCTGGAAGAGTAGAGCTCCACCTAGGGTATCTGTTTTTACCTGGGAAGCTGCGAAAGAATGCATTTTGACTATAGATATGCTTAAAAGAAGAAGAATCACTATGGTAACAGATGTTATTTATGCAAATCTGATTAGGAAACTTGTAATCACTTACTTTTATGGTGCCCGAAGACTTATAGCTTATGGAATTCTGTTTTAGGGCTGTTGGGGCTGAATTGGGTTATGGCTGAAAATGTGAGTGGTGAATTGTGGGCCTGAGCGGATTTTTGTAAAAAAAAATAGGCACTTATTTCTTATTCCACTTACTACTTTTTGGATTGTGTGGAAGGAAAGAAACGCGAGAGCCTTTGACGATAATGAAACTAACCTTACATATGTTAGAGATAAATGAATACATACTTTTGGTTTTATTTTATTAGGTCATGACGTCAGTGATTGAGAGGATCTTGGGATGATCATGGACCACTTAATTGACTTGTAACTAATTTTTATACTTGGGCAATAACCTTTGAATATCTTTGTGAATAATATTTTTTCTCTTTTCTTCAAAAAAAAATAAATAAAGAAAGTTTGCCACTAGGACACCACAAATCTAGGAAAGTTTGCCACTAGGACTCCTGGGGGACATGTCCTGCTTGCAAGAGGGGTATTTAAGCCTCTCAAAACCCTAATTCTTCGAACCCGCCTCCCCTTTCATCTTCATTCGGTGAACCTAGGGTTTCTCTAGATCTCTTCAGCTTCCTTGGAGGGAAGATTGGTGATTTATGAAAATTGTTAATGCATTTTTTATGTATTTAAGCATCTCATTGTAAATCTCAAATGGAAAGAAGTCTTTCAAATGTATTTTCATACATTCTTCTCTCTCTCTCTCTCTCTCTCTCTCTCTCTCTCTCAAACACTGTTTCTCTTCCCGATCTAATTCCTTATCTTTCCCTCTGATTTTCTGAGTTACTGTGAGTATGTCATGGGTTCCTAACACATTGTCATGTAACTGAGGCTAAACAAGGTCCCATAATCCATTACTAAGCTAAGGAAGAAATGCCACAAGATTTTGAACAGAAGTGACCAGAACATGCTGCAAAAGTGGAAGCACAAACAACAACTAGTTTATTTATTAATAATAATTCCATTGACACTTCATACTGCACAATGTCATAAAACTCACTGCATTTTATCACAACACTCAAAACCAGATATCTGAAATTGACAAAAAAAGAAAAAGTGAAAGTACCAGTTGTATACGTCCTTTCACAGGAATCCTCAAGCGGCTCTTAGCATTTTGTGAATCCTCATCGCTAATTCCTCTTTTAAATTTTAAGCCCCGGTACTTTTTTGATGAACTGCCGGCAAGATCTATGGATGCATAATAAAGTAAAAAGCAATCACCATCCACACTGGTTACTGAAAATGGAATCTTTTGTGACTGTGGTGAGAAGTTCCCTCCAGTAATGCTTAGTACAGCTAGAAAACCATCAATCTACGCAGAGAGGCAAATGAAGATCAGATGTTGGTCCAAGAACAATATCATATAGTGGAGTAAGAATCATGCATGCCTATCTAACCTAACATTATTGCTAACCTGACTGCTTTGCCCAGACGACAACCTTCCAGAGAGTAAGGACTCTTCAAAAGAACCAACTAATGACCTCCTAATGGGAAGTCCACTCAAGCTTCGGACAAATCTTTTACATGGAGATGTTGGAGCCGATTCTTGACATAGAGACCAACTTATTCCAGCAGCACTTTCCAGGGAAGATGGACGAAAATCTTTGTGAAAAATATCCATGTCTTCAAATGACCTGCTCACAATCTTAAACTCCGGTTCTTCATGAGAAAAGGCGATTCTGGATTCTGATCCATCAAAGGATTGTTCTATCTTTAAGGTTGAAGACCAATGATCTCTTCCTTTCTTGGAATTCCTACTTCTCCCAACAGTTTTCATTCTTTCAGAAAACCTTGGACCAAGGGGTGACAAAGAAAGAGGAGGAGAGGTTGTCTTTCGTGGAGATATAGATATTGCCTCACTTCGGGTTGTTACCTTGCTTGATTCCCTAAAACTATCAAATGCAGGTGATTGTCGACAATCATTACAAGGCTCTGGCTCCTTGGTTTCCAACAAAGGGCCATCAGTGGAGAACAAAGATATCATTTTACAGCTATTAGATGGTACTTCCTTCTGGTCCAAGCAACTGGATAGCATCCAGGATGGCATGTTGAAGTGTATTTTACCACCAATATTTGCTTTCTTATGGTCTTGTGCTATAGAAACATTAAAGCCATCAGACCGAGGAGGGGAACCCGCTTGCAAACTGTTGCAGCCAATATCAAGAGGATTGCCATCGAATTGTCCTGGAAAAAGCATCCTATTTAAAGGTGATAATAGTCGCTTTCTGGCTAATGATGGCCCAGATGATTCTATTTCATTAACTGTGGGAGCACAAGAAGAACGGACACAAACAGCAGATCCTTCAAGTTCCATTCTTGGAGAACTAGTTCCACGTGATGCAAAACCCACTATCCTAGAAACAGGATCCTGGGAATTCCGTCCATTTTTAGGAGCAAACCACCCAGCTTTATCCACAGCAGCAATCTTCATACCATGAGAATCAGATGAGATACTCTTTGAACCTCCAAATCTAAATGAATCATCTGAAAACTCCGAAAGTTCCAAGGAAGTTTTTGTCTGGAAGTCTCCTATGGAGGAGCATAGAGTATCCCCAACTGTTCGACTCACACTTACTCCCTGCATGCCATCCAAATCACAGGTGCTGACACCAGAAAATCTAGGAGGGCTTTGAGGAAAGGTACCTGATGATGCTGCTGAAGCCTCCCCAAGACTCTCATACGACGAAACTTGTGGCAAACCCATTGCAAGGTTTGCCAATTTGAAGCAAGTTACGGAATGCAGCCTAATAGACTTATCTTTTCCTTTTGTTTTGTCAATTCAGCTTCCCACTTTTTCCCATAGTTCCACAAATTTTTTGCTCATCTTTGATAGCAAACTATCACTTTTTTCTAGTTCAATCAATTAAGACATAAACCTCCAGTTTCCTATTCCTGTTATGTCTCCAAAGAAAGCGGAAAAACCAGTATGATTGATAACTTCTGCAAAGAGTTAGAACAAAAATGACTTCCAGAAGAGAGAGACGATGAACACAATGCTACAAATCAACCAATGAGATCCACATTTCAACTGGCTTCTGAGAATGCACAGAAAAAGATAAACACGCACTATCTATCCAACAATTATGGGCAGCACGGATATTCTTACCACCATACCAGAATTCAACAAAGCAGGTGTTGATCATGGTTGGTAATAGAGGCAACACGTTCACCTGACACAAAACCATTAAGAAAAAGGAAATGAAAACAAAATCATTCAGAAAAGAAAGTGAAAACAAAACCATCAACTTTATAGAGCTAAAAAGATCAATGAGAACTTCTTGAACATTCACATCTTACTTCAATGTAACCTAACAAAAGATTTTAGACCCATTTAGTCTGTCACCAAGTTCTAATACTTACCACACACAGAAGCAACAAAATTTCACAAAGAAAGTCAATATTTACACTATAAGCTACTGATTTTCATGACATAAAAAATTCAGCACAATAGAAACAAGGAAATCTGGTAAGAAATCAATGAACAACTGCCAATGAACACTTAGGAAAAACAAACAAAAAGCAGAGCTAGAGCTCCCAATTCAATTTACAAAATGAACCAATGATACATCTTATTCAATTCTGGAATACTAGCAAATGCCAAAGAAGAACAAGCAAACAACCTAAGAAACAAGATAAAGCTGAATCCACCATGAAATCAAAGCAAAATTTTTTCACTTGTAAACCCAGAAATTGTTTTCAACATCAAAAACCAGCAAGGGGAAAAAGAACTAGCCACAAGATCGGCTGGGCTCGTTGAAACAATCAACAGGAGGAATATCAATTCGAGAAGAAAACCCAGAAAGCGATTGCTTAGACGGCACACATTCACCACAAACTCCCTTCCCTAAAACACGCTGGGTCATTATCATTCACTACAAGCAACATTTATTTATTTTTTCTTTCTTTCTAATGACAGCTTAAAACCACCTTTAAAATCTACAGGATAGCTTCACCATCGCAAAACCCAGAAAGATTTAAGCAAAACCCAGAACAGAATCACAGTTGATCATAGGAAAATTGTCACAAATTTGTAAGATTCTATTCTACAACTTCATACTTACCAGAAAAAGCAATTTACCCACCTCACAGGGACGCACCATCGGCGATGGAGCTAGTGACCAGAGAAGCAGGTGGATTAATCATCGCAATGATCTGCCATGAAAAAATTGGTACCTATTTTCTGATTATATTAAAAAAAAAATTATCTGGGCAACTCTTAAAAAGCCCAAAAAGAAAATATAGCTTTTGTTTAAAAAGAAGGTGATAGATATATTGATAATGTGAAAAAGTTTTCGTTTTTTTTCTTCTCCTCTACTCTGAGTTGGTCAGGAGAAGATGATGATGATGATGAAGAAGAAGAAGAAGAAGGCAGATGAGGAGGAGGCGTTTTGTTGGTGCTAGGGAAGAGATTAAGAGTGGCAGAAGCAATATGTCTAATGTCTATGTCTATACGTATATGTGTATGTTATGTCGCCATTCTCTCTCTCTATATAAACAAATCCCATCATCATCACCCAACTCTGAAAATTTCTCTCTTTCACGTTTTTTCTCCTTGGAAATTTCTTAGGTTGGCTGTAATTTTTTTTTTCAAGAATTAATCTCCTATGGTCTTATTATATATATATATATATATTTACAATCCATATTCATGATTTTTTTTTTCACTCTCTAATTATTTATTTTTTAATTACAAACTATAACATTTACGTAATTTATTTTAAAATAAATGTTTTCTTAGTTATTATAATAGTAGTATAAAAGTTAAATTTATTAATTAATTTCATTCCAAATCCTCTGATTGAATTCAATTTATAATTACTAATTAAAAAATAATAATTTTTTTTATTTGCAATTTGAATATGGATCCATCAATTGTGGGTTCTTTTTTCTTTTTGAATTATTTTCTTCATTTTTACCCTAATTTTTTAATATAACACAATTTCACTTTTTAATTAAAAAAAAAAACTAGTCTTATAATAATTAAAGCAAGCATATACTATATTATTTTTATTCTAAAAAATAAATATATACTATATGGTTTAATTTAACAGGATTAAAGTTCATGATTTTGATTTTCAAAGTCCAATAATGCAAATGGTTGGAACGCACAGAAGACCTATAAATCTGTGACTAGCATAATTAGATTTTGACACCTCCACCTAATTGTATATCTACGGCCTAACATTTTTATGGTTCCTTTTTATTTTTTACAATGAAATATTTAATTGTTAAATGGCGGACTTATAAATAAAAAAATATTAAATTATAACTCAAATTTAAGTTTTGATCTAATCAAAAAGTGAGTACAAATCTTTAATTTATTATAATTTAAAATTTATATTAATAAATTATAATGATTAAGTTAAAATCTATCATTATTAATAATTATGTATAATAGATAAAAAGATACGTACGTTATCTTAATTTAAATAATTATGAGGGATTAAAAAATAAAAACATATTTTTTAATTAAAAAACCATATTTTTTAATCAAAAAATTATAATTTTAAAATAAAATGTTAAATTAAATAAGGGAAGTCGAATCAACTTGAATGTTTCTCTTTCAAAAAAAAAAAAGAAAAAAACACCAACTTGATTATAATAATTGTAAAAAATAAAAATAAAAAGAGACACGTACAAGTCTAAACAGTGTCACTGAGTGACACGTGGCAGGAGATAAAGGCGAAACTGTAAGGTCCATGATACGCGGCGAAGCACAGGAGACATGTAAATGTGGACCCCAATTACCCAAACCCAATCCTCATCCACTTTTTTTTTTATTTATGTTTTCCTCTCCTTTTCAAGAAATAAGTTCTCCTGGTTGATGGAATTCTTTAGATCATTCTCAGATATCTAGAATGGACACGTGTATGGCCCTCATTAGTGGGCCTAGCCCACTTGTCTAGACCTGTTAACATGCAAGTAGACATGCAATCGAAGCCCGGCCATAAAGAATCATTAATTTTTATTTTATAAGTAAACACTAATTTTCTATTACCGTTTAATAAATTACCAATTTTCTCCAACCATTTATTGAAATGAACAAGCATTTAAAAATATAATAAATTTGTTAAAATTTAATTAAATTAAATTATTATAATTTTATTAATACTTATTATATTAATTTTAATTAAAAAAATTAAATATTATAAAATATTTTTTTACCTATAAATATAATAAATTCATTAAAATTTAACTTAAATTTAATTATTATAATTTTATCTGATATATTAATAAATTAAAATTTTAATTTTATTAAATAAGATATTATAAATTGATAATTATTAAATTATAGTATATTTAAAAAATAACAAATTTTATATTTTTTGTAAAATTTAAATTCATAATTTTTAAATAAAATATAAAAATTATAATTAGTAGACCTTTTATTAATATATAATGTAGTGCTAATTAAATGATAAAATTTTTACATTTTAGCATTTAATGATTAATATTAAAAGTAAATTTATCTGTAAATAAAGCCGTATATTATATCCAACATCTATATCCTATACATACATCTATGTATATATGTATAAACTAAAAATATATGTATTGTGTAAGCTCAATCACAAAATAGTAACAAAAGAATCAACCATGGCGTTCTTGACTCAGAGTTATAAAAAAAGGGTGGTTAAAAAAAAAGGGTGGTCATGCCTGTATGTGCATAACCTTTAAAAAATAAATTTATAATTTAAATGTAGATGCGAATAATAACGTTAGGGTTTATATTTTTTACACAGTCAATTGAATTGCTCAATAAAGTATGAGAATGTCTATTCTATATGGTTTATAAAAAATAAACGGTAATTTAAAAAAAAATGAATAAATAAGTATCTTAGGGCAGCATTTACTATCACTTAAAAAGAGTTCAGGATGTGAACTACTCACAACCATCTTACTGATCTAGATCTAGATCTTTGTCTAATTTGTAGCGCTCGGGGAAATTGAAGAAATTGAACAAAAAAAAAAAAAAAAAAACGTGTGTGGCGTCAGCAGACCCAGTCAGCAGGCCTGGCCAACCAGGAACTGCCATGTGGCAAAACCACGTCGACTGGGACGGGCCACGTTGGTGATCCGTGTGCGCGCGATCGGACGGCCCAGATCAATCGCGCGCACGGACGGCCCAGATTTAATTAAAATGGACGGCTGAGATCAAAAGGCAAAAGGGTATAAATAAGACCCCCACACCAGACCCTAAACCCTAGCCGCCTGCCCTCGCCGGAGAAGACGAACCAGAAGCTGGCCGCCGCCACCCGCCGCCGCACTGGAGGGATTTCCTACCGCCGATCGAGGTAAATTTCATACCCCTGACTCGTTTTTCCACGCTGATTTCTCCAGTGGCCAAATCGGAGCCAAAATCTCGGCCAAACGGCCGGAAAACATGGCCGAAAGCTAGCGGCGCCGCCGCGCCCCTTCTCGATTTTTGCCTCCGATGAGGCCCTTCCCGGCCTCCGTGATCACCATTCTTTTCTCTACAGGTTGATCGGAGCCGAATCACCAAAACACGAACTTCACCGGAGAGCCGCCGCACCCGAGAGCACCGCCGCCGGTAAGCTTCGGTTTTCCGTAAATTTTCGGCCCCCCGAGGGTCGTAGGGTTGTTTTATCGCAGGAACCAATGCGAGTGTGGCCGAATTCGGCCGAAAACGGCCAACCCGAGGCAAACCGCCGCCGCAAGCGGTGGCGCCGTCGCCGGAGCACGGCGGAGCCGCCGTGTCGGAGTTGCGATATTGGCCGAAAGGGGCCCTGGGCCTAATTTGGGATTTTTTGGAACACGTGCAGGTACGAGTAGTGCGTTTCAGTTCCCCGAGAAAAATTCAGGGAAAATTAGGGACAGTCTGTAGGCACACTGTGAAGCTGTGTTCGGACCCCGAAACGTGTAAGAACCCCTCACCCTATTTCCTATCACGGTTTTAAAGTTCAATAAATGATAAAACGGTATTTCATGAATCAACGAATGTGTGAAATTGCTTAAGGTCGCTAATGGAGCCCGAGTCTAGTGTGTTTGTCGGTTAACTGTTATTTGGCCTGTTTTACAGTTTTAAATGCAGCATGAGGTTCGATGTTTTCATTTTATAGTTTCGTGTGCATATTTTACTATTTTATTGATTATGGATTGAATGACCGGGATATTGATGCTGTATGTTGTATGTTTGGCATAAATTATCGTTTTGCTTGTTTGTATGTGATTGATAATGCTGACTGAGGGAAAAGGAGAATGAAAGATTATGTAAATGGAAATTGTATAATGTGTTCAGCCTGACTAGATATCCTGGGAGATGGTGGACGGACCGGGTCCGTAGGGAACCCTACCGGGATTGTGGTCTCCCATACCGGACGGGGTATGGAGATCTTATGTGTTTTGGCGCCCATACCGGACGAGGTATGGGGACGGCCCGTTTCACCCTCATACCGGACGGGGTAATAAGGTCTATGGTTTGGCGCCCATACCGGACGGGGTATGGGGACGGCCCTGGAATGGATTTCAAGTGTTAAGGATTAACGGGTAGCGGGACCCCTATGGATCCCCATGGATACTAGTGGGCTGGTGAATTAAGAAAATATGTTGTGTAACGATGGAATTACAAAAAGTTTGATAGGTATTATGTTATACAGTTCATATATATGTTTTCATGATGATGATGATGTTATTGCTTTCGTATATTGTTTTATAAATTCCACCGAGGTAAGTGAATGTTAAAGGTTTTATTATTAATAAAAGGATTTGTCGTAAATCATGCTCCATTGGTCTTTTGTGTTTTCTACCCACCTTTACCTCCGTGATGGTGAGATATCGTGATGTCTTTACTGGGGTAGTGTAGCTCATTCCTTATTTAATCATTTCAGATCAAGAGGACATCGTTCCCGAGCCGATTCCGCAGGAGGACGACGAAGGGGACGCCTAAAGACTCCATAGTCACATTCGTAGTTTTTACTTTCAAGTTTCTCATTTAGGTAGTTTAATCTTTTATATTTTGTGAGCACGTTTTTGGTTTTAGTGTAAGGAATGTTATTCAAATTTTGACTTCGCTTCCGTATTTGATATTTATAATATAAATTCCATTATGAAATTCCGGGGCTGCTACAGTTGGTATCAGAGCCGCATTTCCTCGGACCCATCCCTTACACAATAGTGCCTTAGAGAAATACTCACCGATATATTGTTACTCAATCATTCCTTGTGAACGCAGGTACACGGGAATGAGGAGAGGAAGGCCCCCACTAAACCGAGCGGCCCTAGATAATTCACTTCGGGAGGATTTAGATAGACTATTCGAGATGGTAGAGGCTCTCGCAGCTGCCCAGCGAAGGCAAGAGGAGAGAATGGAGTTACCGGGACCTCCTCCGCTGGCGCAGGTTGAGCTCCCGCTATAGCAGGCTGATCCCGAGCCACCCTGGCAGGAGCCTGTTCCTCCACGGTACCACCCGGCACCACAGCCGCGGTACGATCCGGTACCACAGCCACAGTACCAACAGGTGCCGCCACAGCACATTCCAGTGCCCCCACCACATCAGCAGACGCCACCACAGGGTCCCCCAGTTCACCCTCAGTCG